AAAAGCTTCACACTGCTGCTCTGTGTATAGAAGGGATCGCACAGAGACCTCAGAACCACCAATAAACTTCAGCTCTACTACCTAACACCTTGCCCAATCTCTATTACTGGAGAGTTCTTGCAGCTAGAACGTGTTGTGAAATATTTTTTTCCATGGAGAGTTATGAAAGCCAGCACAGAAATGTCCCCAAGGCTGGATTATTACCAAAGCAAAGTGGACAACCAGACCAGAGTCCCCAGTCCCTGAGGACCGCTGGTCCACTGTGTCATCAGAACTGCTTGTTGGATGCACTGTGTCCAACCATCTGAGCTAGATTATACTAGAGGCGGCTCTTATGACATACAGTAGTGTCAGACTACACTGGAAATCATGTTTATACCCAGATGTGAACTGTAAGGCAGAGTTGGCCGTCACCGAGTTTGTCTGGCAGACATGTTTTCCGACAGTCTTTCATAGTGTGCACTTGGCTGTACACAAATGGCTGCATAATAAATGTTAAAAAATGCTAGAGTGAAGTTCCAACCCAGCATACTTAAGCCCATACAACACCTTACCTCCATGCAGCAGGAGAGTCATGTCATGACGTGGGTATGAACGGATGCAGAGCCCCCTAATAACATGTTCCAAAGGTGTTGGGGAAGGAATGTCCTGAAGCCATCCAACAAGCAGTTCTGACAAAGTATACAGGCCCCTGAAACCAACCCTTATGCACAAGTGGCCTTTACCTGTTGTTTCTATAGTGACCATTATCCTGGCAGGTGCTGACTGAGATTGAAAAAAATAAAAGCAGCATATTTTTGATACTTTCCCCCCATTTTATTTCTTTTTTAAATAGAAAACTTTGCCCAGTTGGACAGAGTTGAAAGAACAATAGTTACAAAAAACTCAGAAAAAAAACACTATGATGACGGCACATTCATTCATCCCATTATAGCAGTCTTAAAAATCAGTCGTTCTTGTCATTCTGAAAGAGGAGCATTAACCTGATGGAGTGCTACAACATACAGTACCTGGGTGGTGCTTACAGGATTATAGCCAGGACAGGAAAGAGCGGGAAGGACTCCTGCCTGTCATGAGGCAATGTTCTGTATCACAGAACAGACAATGTGGGTTTTCACATCACAGCTCAACGGAATCAGCACTGAAGCCACACCTCTGTAGACTATTTACAAAAACAAAAACAGCAAAGTGTGACTGGAGCTGGTCAACCAGAGTGCTGCTTCCACTTCCACTGGAGTAAAGGCTAGACTGGTTCGTGCTTCACGCATCAGAAAGACCTGGATTAGATAGAGCTTTTGTCTTTACACTCCATTATACACCCAGTTTAGGCTTGAAAAACACCATCCACACACACGCATACAGACATCATGACATGACATACAGACTGTGCAAAACTCTTTGGTGCTAATGAGTTTAAGAAAAGTAACATGAAAAGAAAAAGTATCTGAAGTCTGACATGGTTATACAATCTTCCCAATATACATATTTAAACAGAATAGAAAATGGAGCCTGTAAATTCAATAAATTAGACAGCAGAGGATGAATTGCAGATATCAAATCCAGCAGTTGGATTCACAGAAATTATTAATAAAGAAAAAAATCCTGGAGAAACAGTAACAGTGTTGTATTACCAAAATCATGAAATCAAATAAAAAAACCACTGTAAATCCAAGAAATCAAATTAAATGGCCCTTAGTAATTGTTGAGATAGTTGTCATTTAAGTCTGCGTTGTCAAAATGTTCAGAATCAGTCTTTTGTAAACATTCACAATCAAGAGTTGAACTGTATTGAGCACTGGACACTGGTCTAGTGACTAATGGAATATTTGAGGACAGTGTACTTCATTGAGGTACACAATAACTCCTGCCTCCCATCCTCACACTGTGCTGACAGGTAGCAGGCTAGAAGGACCTGGGACCCTGGTGTAACCAGGCTCACACACAAAGTATTGGTCAATATTCCTTCTATCATAAACCAAAACATAAACTTTGTTACTAGGGCCCAAACTGTCTTACTAAACTATTATGTTGTTTCAGTATAGTTTCTTTAAAAACAACATATTTTCAAAATATATCTATGTGAAGTCTTTCATTTCGGTAAAAAATAAATTAGGTAGTGAAAACATCACTATGAGGAGGAAGTGAGCACAGAGTAGGTCCGGGTTCAGTTTGTGGCAGTCTGCAGTCCATCCTTTCTCACGCTGTCCTAACTGAGCCATTATTGAAGGCCAGTCTCCTGAAGCTGTGGTCATTCTTCTCCAGCCAGAGCTCGGCCAGTTGCTGGGTGGAGCCGTGAGATGAGGCTTTGGAGCCCAGGCACATCTTATATTGCTTTGCCTCTAAGTTGGGATCACATATGACCGGGTGGTGGACATGTACTATCCCCATGTCTGTGCTTCTGAACAACTTAATCCCTGACTGGACAAATTTATTAAAAAGGTCCACATCCTCTAATCCCCACCCCTGGATGGAGGTATCAAAGCCTCCAGCTCGGACCAAGTCTCCCTTGTAGACACAGACGATCCCAAAACCATAGTTCCTCCACAGGCCTGTCTTGGAGGTGAAGACGTAGTGGTTGTCACTAGGGACCTTCCCAGCGTACACCACCTTAGGGTCATACTGGCTGAAAATTATGGGAAAGTAGGTCTGCTCCCCCAGGGCGGTATTGGTTCGACATCGTTTAAGGAAGTCGCTGGAGAAGAGCAGATCCACATCACAGTAGAAGAGCAGGGAATCGTTAGAGAAATGTAATGAACCCACTTCCAAAGCCAAAGCCCTGGAGAAAGAGCCTGCCACAGGTTTTATCTCCATTTCAGCCCGGGGATACTTCATGCGATACTCTCTCATCAGCTCCACCTGCTTGACCCGCTCTGTGTTGTTGTCTGTGCTGAATAGCAGGATGAGCAGCTTGACATTCTGGTTAGGAATCAGACACACTCGTTCAAAGTTGGCCATGAAGCGCACAAAGATGTCATAACGTCCCGACAGAGGTACCAATATGTTGACTTTCCTCTCTTTTGGTTCCCTCTGATCCTGACCAGAAGTGGCCAGTTTGAAAGGCACCAGCATCTTGAGGGAGTTGGACAGAAATGAGAGGGAGTCTGACTCCTTGTTGATGTGGTTGGCCAGAGCTCTGGCATCCATCTCCTCCTCCTCTCTGAACTGGATCTGGCTGAAGGTCTGCTGCAGGTAGGCATGCCTCCTTACAGGAACTGTCATGGTCTTTCCTTTGTGCTTCTTGTACAGCAGCAGTAGATCCAGTACATACTCTGCTCCATATAAGGGATTGACCCTGCGGTAACCATACTGGATTTCTTTAAAATCAATGACTCGCCCCCTTGTCTTGGCATTGGCATTGATCATCTCCATCACTTGCATAATGATGTCATCCAGGGCTTGCCTCTGGGAGGAATCCATTCCGCGACGTGGCGGCAGACCGTCAGACGATGAGAACAGGTACTTTCCTGTAAGGAACTCCCACTCTAGAACTTCATCCCTCTGCCGCGGATGGAAGCGCATAAATGATGGTGGCATGCCAAGCTGGAGGTCCTCTCGGCTGGGCTCAGCTGATCCATAGCGCCCCATCTGGACAATCTCCCGGTGGAGCTGAATGGTTCGGTGGCGTAGGTCAGCAATCTTGCGGCTAAGCATGTAGCTATGTAGTCGGTACTGGTAGGGAGGGTTCTTGTTAGGGTGGAGAGTGATGGCTCGATGGATCTTGCTGTTGTGGAGATCTCGTATGTAGCCCTTCTTATTTGGTTCATAGTTCTCATAGAAGAGCTGCTGCATCTGTGGAAGCAAGAGATGGACTGTTGTTAGTGCCACTAAGGCCATGTACATTTGAAACACTTCATGTCCACTACTACAAATGCATTCAGAGAGGAAATATTCTTTTGCCCTGTCTTCTTCTATGTACACAGCTAACTCAGCAAATGAAGGGGTGAGGATGACTGCACTCAGACCCATGATGTTGCAAGAACATGAATGTCTTGCTTTAAGTACCAGTCTGGTGGGCTTCCATAAATGTTCCATAAGTTGTTTCTATAGGATTTGGGTAGCCTGCACAAACAGTTATGAAAGAACTTAGAGAATGCTGACTGTATCAGGTGCCCTTTCATTGTTTTCATACTGAAAAACAGAAAAATTGTTTAAGTACAAATTCAATGAAATGCAAAAAGTCAAATTTAAATAGGGTGAAAAAAATCTTTCAATATGCTCAACTTCACAATGACACAAAGGGGTTTTTTGTGTTCATTACTATACACTGTAAAACACGATACAGGAATTTAGTGGAATCAACCAAGCGTTTCTTGTTAAATTAACAAAAATGTGTAAGTCTTGGTTGTTTTCTGTTAATTGAACTTAGGAAGTCTAGTTTGACGTTTTTCAACCTGAAATGATGATTTGAATGAATTGCTGAGAGTACACTCAACTCATTAGATAACGCTTTAAAGAAAAGTATCAGACTTCCCAGCATGCCTTGCTGTAGTAATGCTACAGCAAGGCATGCTGGGAAGTCAGCTCTTCAGAAACTCATTTGTATTTAGAAGGGCTCATTCATGCTGAAAACTTTGTTTGTAATACACATTTGAATTGATTTATTCTTTCAAACATGTAAAGACAGTTGATATGTCAACACATAATTTTACACATATCCAACAAGTGCTAATCCAATATCAATTTGCTTATACCTAGTACATGCTTGAATGGAGTAGGAAGAAGTCAAACTTATCCAGTC